AAGGTCAAGGCAGGGGTTTGACTAGCTCAAGGCTCATGGTTGCTTCACTGGGAATGGTATACAAGGATGAATCCATCAGTACTTTTTCTGGATGGCTTTCCAGCCCTCCTTACTCTTCTACTGAAGAGATACTGCTGAATTCTTCATGCTGATTAATATAAGGAAGCTTTGAAAAGTTCATAAAAACAGGGTGCTATAATTAACTAAGCATGGATTTAAAACATTTTTATACAAAAATAAGTAACTTTAACAGTTTTCATATCCATTTAGAAAGAGTGTCTGAGAAAGCAAGACAGAAAGAGATCTTCCATCTGCTGGTTCACTCTGCAAATGCCTGAAGTAGCCAGGGTTGGGCCAGGCCAAAGTCAGGAACTAGGAACTCCGCCTAGGTCTCTCACACAAGTGGCAAGGTCCCAAGCACTTGAGCCATTATCCATCACCTTTGCAGGTACATTCGCAGGAAACTGGATGGGAAACAAAACAGCTGGGAGTTGAACTGGCACAGTGTCATGGGTCCAGGCATCACAAGTAGCAGCTTAAGCAACTACACTACAATACTGACCCCTAAGCTTATCTTTCAATTTAATTTTCCACAAACTTATTGGGAGTATTTTCACATAAAGTCAAACATAATTGGTTAAAAGAGTTGAACAAGGTCTAGAAACATATACATACAGATATGGAAATTTACTATCAGATAAGGATGGTATTTCAAATCGGTATTCAATGGACAGATTGTTCAACCTCACATGGCATAACGACATACTAAATTTCACATATTTAAAACACATAGGAGGGGCTAGCAGGATGGCCCAACTAGCTAATCCTCCACCTTGCCCATTTGGGGAATAGTTTGGCTGCTCTGCTTCCCATGCAGCCCCGTTTGTGGTCTGGGAGAGTGGCTGAGCCATGGGACCCCACCAGGGTGGGACACACAAAAGGGGCTCCTGGCTGTAAATCAGCTGAGCTTCAGCCACTGCAGCCATTTGGACAGTGAACCAGTGAATGGAAGATCTTTCTGTCTCTCTTCTCTGTAAATCTCCTTTCCAATGAAAATAAATAAATCCTTAAAAAAAATACATATAGGAGGGGGCCAGCATTGTGGCAGTCAGTAAAGCTACCTGAGATGCCAGCATTCCACATGGCCACCAGTTCAAATCCCAGCTACTCTACTTCCAATCTAACATGCTGTTAATATGCCTAGGGGGGAGGGAGGGAGGGAGAAAAGGAGAGAGGAAGCAAAGAAGAGAGGTGCTTAGATGGGTCAGTGTTTAGGATGCTACCATGCCATATCGAAATCCCTGAATTTAAATCTGAGCTTTGCTCTCCTTTCCAGCTTCCAGCTAAAGTACGCTCTGGTAAATAGCAAATGATAGGAAACCTGGGCTGAGTTCCCTGCCCAGTCCTGGTTGTTGTTGTTGTAAGCATTTGGAGAGTGGATCAGCATATACAATTTTAGTGTCTATCTATTTCTCCCTCTCTCCAATAAAGTCTTTACACAGAATGATAATTGTTCACAATAACAGGCATAAATTTAATCACTTGATACATACTGACATATATATACATGAAAATATCTCAATCAAGATAATGAGTACCTAAAGCACTTTCAAATTGTTCCTTGTGCTTCTCGGTGGTCCTTCCTCGGCCTTCCCCACTACCCATCCTCATCCCACTACCTATTGTCTTTCTATCACTGCAGACTAGTGAGAATTCCCTAGAATCTATATAAGAGAAATTATACTGGTAGCACTCCTAGTTTGACCCCTCTCATTCAGCTTAATATTTTGACATTCATCCACACTGCTGCATTAACTAGGAGAAAGCTTTCTATTTACCAAACAGATAGAAGGCAAAAGCCTTTATCTATGCCTTGACAACTTTCCATTAATGTCAACAGCATATCCTGAGCAAGACACCAGGCCTAGATGATTTTAAGAAAGAAGTTCTGCCAAACTTCAAAAGAATGGATAAGTCTCACCATTTTCAAACAGTTGCAAAGTCTAAGTCTAAATGTATAAATATATCAGTAAGTTTCCAAATCAAGTTTGTGAGGATAGTACACTTAACCAAAACCCTGACAAAGTATCTTATTCTCCCCTAACAAAAAACCTTCCCACAGAAAAAATTCTACAATTAAACAGGGCAGGGAGCAATTCACAGAGCAATCTTCCTTATGATTACAAGTAAAAAAATCAAAATAAATTGAATATGGCATGTGTTTTAATAAAACAAAGGATGACATGAAGAAATCCATTAATGCCATTTGAAAGACTTAACAGATGATTTCTAGACTTTTTTCAAAAGTCATTCGTCCTTGATTTAAATAAATGAAAACCTCCAATGAAATAGTAACAAAATGTCATGATAAACAGGTCAGCTAAGACTTTTGTTTTTGGCATTGTTCAAAGATTTTCACAATGATTCTGGACTAAGAGGGAATAGATGAAAATGAGCAAGATACAGATGACCTAGTTATAACATCCACCATAGTACCCTCTCCAACTCCGGAACATTAGTCTTATCACTCCTTGGTTCTACACCAGGTTACTGAGGTTCCTGGGACAATGACAAACAAATTAGGGCATGAATGAACAGTTTTAGTACAGGGAGGAGATGACCAGTCCAGAGCTCATTATCTCCCAAGCCATTCAGAAGCCAATCAACCCCAGGAGCCTCATTTCCAGAGTTTGTAGCTACATTTCTGCCATCAGCAGATTCTCCCCTAGATTGCTACTAGATCACACTTCTGGCTCTGGAGTATGGGGCATTGAAGTCTAACAAGAAGAGGGCCAATACTCAGATATTTCACATGAAAACCATAAGATTGGACCGGCAGTCACAGACCATAATCCTCGCCTTAGAAATATGTGACGAATTGACAATCTGCCAATAAACACTTTTATAAACCTCATTCCTATTTAAGTACACTATGAAAACACTCACTTTTATCTTTTTAATCTTGATATTGTCCCAATTCTTAGTTATTAAGTCTCAAGTTTATGCCAGTTACAGGATTCAGATGGTTCCCATTAATAGAAATTTCATAAACCCATATAACACATGAAAAACAGCAAAATGCAGTACTCTTTATCATTTGCATTTTCTAGAGAAAATTTTTAATATATAAATCTATCAGTATTTGCCACTTAGGACAACTGCATCCCATTATCACAGTGCTGGCATTTGAACCCAGCTTCCTGCTGATACACACCCTGCGAAGTATCAAGCGACGGGTCAGTATCTGGATCCCTTCCATCCGCATGGGAATCCTGGACTGTTTCTGTCTCCAGGTTTGGCCCAGTCTAATTTTGGTCATGGCAACCACTTGAGGAGTAAGTCTGCATGCAGAAGTAAACATGCTCACTTGCGTCTCCCAAGTTGTCCCTTCCCCAGTCCACCACCTAATAGTCAAGTGCTGCATTCTGCTTCTGTTCAGCCCAGTTTCCATGACACTTGCAATAATTGTTGTTCCTCCATTTCCCATCCACCCAATGTGCTGACTACACTCCTCCCTCTCAAAATCCTTATAAACTTGTTAGAATCCAAAGGAGCATCTCAGAAAGTGCTACAATTAAGAGGACTTACCGAATATTGAGTTAACTGTATCAAGAAAATGTATTCCCAATGCTACTACCATATCCACACGTGGAATATAATTTGGTAACTTCAAGTAATTAAATAATGATATGAGCCAAAGGGATGAACCTTGAAAACATGCTCAGTGAAAAAGTTAGATTCAAAAGACCATATATATACACTGCATGGTTCCATTTATATGAAATGTCCAGAACAAATAAATTTATCCATATTCATTCTTGCTTAGTGCTACAGAAAATAGGAGGGAAACAATGGAAATTGGCTGCTAATAAATAGTAGTCTTCTTTGGCGAGCACAGGGAAGAACATATTCTAAAATTAGATTACAGCAACAGTTGTACCCCTAAGACTGTGTTTTAAAAGGAGTTGTGTATTTAAAAGGGTAAATTGCATGGGAAGTGAATTATCTATCAATAAAACTGTTAAAATACTACTGTAACTTTGTATTACTATCCTTGAACAAACAGCTATAAGTATTATGTGCAAAGGCCTGGCCCTGGTATCATTTGAATCTTACCAACATTACATGATCAATTTTCAGTCTTACAGATAAGAAAACAAGTTTAGTGAAGTTAAAATATTTATGCAAAGTTAAGAGTTACAGATGGCTCCCAGATACAGCAGTCCAAATAAATGAATCAAAGGCTAAAGTTTCCTAAAGTACGCTGTGCTCGCCATTGGTCAGTTTAATAGAAGTAAGAGTATTATTAAATACGCAAATGACCTTGGAAAAGCAAGCATTTTATGTCTATCATTAGCGACTTTTTTTTTTTTTTTTTTTGCTTTGAGACATTATTGAGAGCAAACACAGTTTAACTGGGCATCATTGTGTAATTTAACATTCCTATCTAAAACAAAAAGCCTCCAGAAAAATAACTGAAACCAACTGAAGGCATATAATCTGTCTTTTCTTAAGCCTCTAGACTATATGTTCAAGATAATGACATCATCTGTCATTTCTTTAAATCAATGCTTCATTCTTTATATTACATGAAATGCCAATATACAAATTATTTCTTTAAACTACATTAAACAAAAAATGCTTTATCATTTAGTTACTATTCAGATTTAGTTGTGTGTTAATATTTATTCATTTGAAAAGCAGAATGACAGAAAGGCAAAGACAACTTTCCTGCATGCTATTTCACTCTTCAAATGTCTGTAGCATCCAGGGTTGGGCCAGGCTGAAGTCAGGAGCCTGGAATTCTATTCGAATTTCCCGTGAGTGGCAGAAACCTGAACACTGGAACCATCAGTGCTGCCTCCTATAGTGCACATTACCAGGAAGCTGGATTGGAAGCAAAGAAGCCATGACTGGCTTCAACCAGTACTCTGATATAGGGCATAAGTGTCCCAAGCAGAGGCTAACACACTGCACTACAATGCCTGCCCACTCCTACGTCTAGTTTTTGGTCTACACATTCAGATGATTTCTAACTTGTTAGAAATTCCAGAAAGCCAAGCAACTGATTTACTGAAACATAATTGATCTTATAGATGAAATATTACATATTATATATTAGAAGGATGGCATTTTATGGCTACTCCTTCAAAGTAACTAGTCACCTATTTGGTTACCTTATTCATCTGTTTGCACCTATCACAGAGTCACTGGTTTAACACAACATAAATTTCTTAGATTTCTCCAGGTCAGATACTTGACACAGGTCTCACTGGGCTAAATTTAACATGCAGCATGACTGCACTCCTTCACTGAGACTTTAGGAAAAAATCTGCTTCCCGGCCTTTGCCAATTTTGTGTAGGCCACTTCGTTCCTTGGCTCATGGTCAATTCCTCCTTGAAAACCAGTGAGTCACTTGTACTGCATCACTGTCATTTTTTGCCACCTCCTTCCTCTTTTAAGAACCCTTATGATTACACTGCTCCACCAAATAGTCTCCCCATCTCAAAACCACAAAAATGATTCACATTTTGACTTAATCACATCTGCAAAGTCCTTCAGAGATGTTAACATGACATATTTAGGTGACCATTGTTCTACCTATCACAGTTATCACTGTATTTAAAGAAATCAGGATATATCCACAGTAAATTTTGCTGGACACAATGGGAAGATGCACACTGATGGTTACAATGGAGAATGTGGAACTCGGATTTTTTTTTCAGATTTTTACGATTTTTACTGGTATTAGACTTTGAAGATGAATCATAATTAGTTACATGAGAATAACAGAAGAAACAAGTTGTCACTAATAGAAAACTGTATTATCTAAATCTGTCAATTTTTTAATCTAAAAAGAAAACCACAAAAGTTTATTTCATACTTGCTTTTTATGTATTGTTCTGTCAAGGCACTCAAACAGAATGCCTCTTCACAGCAATATGGCCCATACCACATAATGGTTTCACACGTGAGCATACCCACCGGTGAGTTTTTACTAGCCCACAAAACAAGGTACCCACAGGATCATTATGTATCTGTGGCTAACAAACCACACCTCTTCTTTGTGACAGGCCAAAATTCAAAATGAAATATTACTGAAGAGACTTTTTACAATCCCCACAATGCTCTATTTACTTAACTTTTTCAATTTAGCTTTATATCTTTTCTGACTCCAAGACAAAAGATTGATATTCGATGTACTTAAGTCATAGCCAGCATGTATCAGTTCGTTGATTCGACTTCGTAAAGTACTTATGCTTGAATCTAGAATGCGAGGATTTTCAATTATTTGTGAAACACTAATTTTTTCTTCTATGAGACAGTCTATTTTAGCATTAAATTTTTTCTCTGCCAAAAAGATCATATCAGGATAACTTAAAACAAACTTCTGCACCTCTTCTTCAGTACATCCAAGAGAAAACAGCTTCTCTTTGATATTTGCATAGTTTCTTTTGGCATAGTCATTGGAGAGGTCTAAGATTTCAGCTCCTGAACCACATAACAGAACGAGCAGTTCCTCATTGTTCAAGTTGAAAGTTGACTGTAAAAATTCAATGTTAGCTTTTACCCGCTTGGTGCTCTGAATTAAGATGAAAGGGTTTTTAGAAATTATCTTCCGAACAAAATCAGTAGGATCCTTGTGACCCAAGCACACACAGACTTTCTGCAAAAATTCCACCATCTGTTTATTCAGATCAACACTATTGGAGAAGGTACGAGGGGCATTAGTCAACAATCGACAAAGGCATTTTCGGGTCAATCCAACTGAGTAAAGAAACTTAATATTATTCTCTAAGTTCAAGTTGTTATTGGATCGAAAAAAGGATTCAGGAGAACGTTCCAAAATATTTACAATTTCAAGGTCTGATGTCATAATTTTCCTCCATATATTCCACCGTTCCGAAAGACTGTCAGGAGTACGTGTTATGGCTCGCGGGTATCTTGATATGATGCTAGCAATTGCTTCTTTGCTTGCTCCCTTGGAGAGAAGGAACATCTTCAGGTCCTGCTCATTGGTAACCATCCTATGAAAAACCCCAGGCTGCCGTTTCTTTGCCATGTCAACATCTACTCCCATGGTGAGCAAGTTTTTCAGTAGGTCCTCATTCTCCAAAGGCTCACCATCCACATGATGACACTTGACACCAAAAAGCCTTAAAGAAACGGATTTAAAGAGAATTTCTACTGAAAGTGGAACCATCCAACATCTTGAACCAAAAGGAAAGTTAATTCTCATATACCAGAGGCTTCTTGACGCCATAATGATCAGGTGGCCAAGACTTTTTGGAATTCTGCATAAAACAAAACATATTGTATTATATTGTATAAATACATGTGGTAAACAGCTATGATGCCAGGTCAACACTGCGACCCCACAAGCACCATGGTTACTTCAATCAACCCACACTTCTACCTCAAGCTTATGGTGATGCGGTGACACTGAAACCTCCCCACTCACCCCGCCCCCACGCCCCCTCACTACTTCTGCTGATTATCCAGGGACCCAAACATGCCTCCACTTTCAATACAAACAAATTCAAAAATGACACTATCACAGCTCCCAGAATTACTCCTTCTTACACTTGCTCTTATAATGTGGCCTGGCCTGCCTTAGTTTCCCAAAACCAATTGTCCTTTCCATCTCAGCTCTCTCCAGCTTTCATTTTTACCTTATCATTCAACTTCCCAAACCTGACACTCCCCTGTGCAGAACCAGACTTCTCTGCCTCTGGCCTCTTGGTTCTCAAACACTAAACACAGCCCTGAAAACAATACCTCAGACTACCCAGTTTTCATCTTGAACAGCTTTCTCTAGATTCATGATACCCTTTTGCTATCATTACTCTTAATTCTTAGCTTATGTAAGTCTCTGGTTCACAGTTCCTGACCCCAATCTCTACCTCATTCAATCTACCCAGCCGCTCCCTTGATGTAGTGCATTATTTCTGAACCCATTTTCATCTTCAAAATGATCTCATTGGGATATATAATCTACATAGTCTATTACATGTGGAACTGTGCTGAGACAGCATGTAAACACTAAAATGTTACACTTACATTCTCCTCTACCCCTTCATCATACCATACAAGCTCAGCCCAGAGCTGTTGGCACCTGTCTGTAGTGCTCAGCAACGTCCAGCGTCCAGCAAGTGACTGAAGGCTCAGTTAACTCATTTCCCTGATCATTTAGAAATGCAGCATAATGATAAACAGGGCTGAACATTCAACACAGAATATTCAACAGAACTTCTACTCATGAGAAACCAAAAGTAGGGGTCAGCCCAATGCCTCAACTGGCTAATTCTCCACCTTACAAGCACCAGCATCCTATATGGAGCATAAATTAGAGACAGAGGTTACCACCCACCACTAATGTTTTGGGCATTAATATGCCTTCAATACTACTTTCAAGAAAGTCTTTTTGTTTCTGTCATTCCCACTATAATTTTAACAAAAAATTTGCATTACTCGCAAAGGCTTGAAACCTCTCTATGGCTTACATAATCTACAGAATCTCAAAAAATCAGGAAGTACTTCCAAAACAGAGAAACAAGTAACAGTCCACTTCAAAAGTAAACATCAAGAACAGGCACATTTTAGACTGACCCATGCCCTACAGAGTTCACTATTCTGCACTTCTCCACTATCACATCAACTCCCCAACTATGTGTACTTCCAAAACCAAGAACCTGAAAAACAACCTCCTTCTGACTAGCCTGCCTCACAGAACTGAATAGCCAGTTCTTTTCCAGCTGCTCAAGGGTGACCTCTGCTGGTTAACAGGAGACAAAAGGGTTGCTGGCCAAAGAATGGTGCGAGATGATCCAATAGGATGGGGGGGGGGGGGGGGGTAAAACTCTATATTTGTCCCAGCCTTGAAAGAGTCCCACTTTTTATACATGTTTTACAATGTAAACAATAACAATATTGTTAACATATGGAATGATCAACAATTAAATACAAAACATATAATAGGTACATTCATAAATAGTTTTTATTGATCATGTACATATTCAAAACAGTTTAAAGACTATTGCTCCAGAGACCACCACAGTGGCATAGCAAGCTAATCTTCTTCCTATGGTATAAGCATTCCATATGGGTGCCACAAGTTCTGTTCCAGCTCCCTGCCAATAGCCTTGGAAAGCAGTGGAGGATGGTCCAAGGCTTTGGGCCCCTGAATCCACATGGGAGATACAGAAGAAGCTCTTAGCTCCCAGTTCTGGACCAGTCAAGCTCTGGCCATAGTGGCCATTTGGGGGAGTGAACCAGTGGCTGGAAGATCTCTGTCTCTGCCTCTGTCTCTCCCTCTCCTTAGTTCTGACTTTAAACTAAATAAATCTTTTTTAAAGAAGACTATTCCTCCAGACCACACACTCACCCCTCTTGAAATTATTAGCATCATGATAAACAGGGCTGCACATTCAACATGGAATATTCAACAGAACTTCTAAGAAAGAAACTAAGAGTAGGAGATGGCACGATGCCTCAACTGGCTAATTCTCCATCTTGCAAGCACCAGCATCCCATATATACACTCATTCTCCCCTTCCACATGAACCGATATGCATAAAATCTGACCATCTTCCCAAGCTCCCAAACTTCTCCCCTGATTAATTCTATTATATCCCCATCCTAAGTCTCGAGAAAAACCCAAGTGAACTCTGCCTTCACCCTCTCCCAGCCAACGGTGAACAGATCTAGGTATTTTTAGAATCTCTGAAAACCCACGTCTGCACTCGTTATTCTCACCCTTCTAAACCTGTATTCCTCTCACTAGGCCTGCATAGGGCATACAGCTTGCTTTTATAACAATCAATCATTCAAAACTGCTACCAACTGATTCTTGTGAAATCAAGATGTGATTACGCTCCTCATTCTGTGATTAGAGACCTTCTGTAGTGCTCCCCCAGGGCAGAACCTCCAGGCTGACTCCCAAAGCCCTCCCATTTCAGTCCAATCTTTCCAGCTACCCTTTTTATTCTGAAAACTCCCCACCCAACGCCACTGCCTGTCAAATCTCTCATCTAAACATCCTTGTCCATCCCAGCCTAACTTTGTTCTTTTTTCCCCAGAAAAACCGATCCTCATAATGGCTTCCTAGAGTGAAGATCTCATATACATTCAATCCTCCCTGAAATCTTCAATTTCATCTAAAGTATTAGCAGAGTGAATCATCCATTTCACAACAATTTACCTCAAAAATAAGTATTATTTATATATGGGGGAATAGGGGAAAAGCTGAAACTGACTTAGAACTGGTAGATAAAGCTTGCTTTTATTATGAGACTAAAATACACACATACACAACCACCAAAATGATTTGAGTGGTCTCAACTATACCCAAAATCAATGGTAACTAATAACATTGAAAATTGACAAAAATATGAGGGAACAGAGAACTCAAATTGACACCACAGATCACAATCTTAGGTGCTCATAACATTTTATCTTGCACTCCCTCTTTGGAAGACTGTATGGATACAGACAAGAATACACGTTTACTATGAAGAAAGATGGATGTCCATCATAACATTATCTGGTATTACAAAAAAGGACCCCAAATAATTAGCAGCAACATGATCAATAAATTTTATAATTGTTCATAGGGTGGTGTGATGACTCAATTAGCTAATTCTCCACTTTCAAGGGCTGGAATCCCATTTGGGCACTGGTTCATGTCCTGACTGCTCTACTTCCCAACTAGCTCCCTGCTTGGAGCCTAGGAAAGCATCTTTGTATCTTTGGAGGTTAGCCCAAAGCCTTGGGACCCTGCACTCACATGGGAGACCCAGAAGAAGCTCCTGGCTCCTGGCTTCTAACCTGCTCAGTTCTGGCTATTACAACCACATGAGAAGTGAATCATCAGATGGAAGATCTATCTCTCATTCTCTCTATAAATCTGCCTTTCCAATAAAATTAATCATTTTTTAAAATTGTATGTAGAGGCACTGAAAAATGAGGCATTCCTGTAGTGACGCTATAATAGACTATTGTATCCAGATATGAAAATACAATGCAGTATGCATCTCTACTTCCAAGTCAAAGATGGACTCCCAATGAAACTGCTGGACATATCTAAACAGGATACTGAACTATCTGACACTGTCTGTACCAGCAATGTCAGGGCACAGTTAAATAACAGACTGATGGACTCCTTAGGAAGGACTATACTACAGTAGTAATTAATAGGGGGTAATCAGCTAGGGTATAGGAACTTAGGGAGCGGGTAGGGAAATCCCAGACCCTATGGAATTGTACCACAAAATTCATAATAAGAGGAAGATATCATCAAAGATATCCTAAGTGACAAACTCTCCAACAGGTAGGATAACACCACTCTTGTCTATAGTGCATGGAGGCCAAAGATATGCAAAAAGGGGGAACAACAGTTATCTCTGAGAAGGGGTAAGACTGTTGAAACACTGGGATTGTATTAAGTGAATAAGTATTACTTTTCAAAAGACAAGTTAAATTGGCCCAGGGGTGCAAATAACACTAGAAAACATATATTACCTTTATTCTTAAATTTTCACCACAAAAAGGAAACTCAAAAAAAGCCAAAAACCAGTGATGTGGAGCTAGCACTTGGTGCAGCAGGTTGGGCCACACGCATACAGTCAGGTTCAACTCCCAGCTGCTCCACATCCAATCTAACTTCCTGCAAACGGCCTGAGACAAGCAGCAGAGGGTGGCCCCAATCCTTAGGCTCCTGCCACTCACAAAAGAGACCCAAAAGAATCTCCTGGTTTCTGCCTGGCCCAGGCCTTACCATTTTGGTCATTTGGTGCAGGAACAAGCGGATGGAAAACCTCTCTGTGTATAACTGTGCTTTTCAAATAAGTGTCTTCAACAACAAAGAGTATCAGTTGAGGTGTTACATCAGCAGCTGATCTCCACTCAAAATATTTCTACAACATCCAGTAAGGTTAATTAATATCAAAAGAGCCAAATGCAAGAGGGACTGACAAGTTTTAAAAGCAACTTCATGGCTGACTTCTCTCAGATTTGACGGTCCTAATGAACCAAAAGCATCATCCCAAGAACTACTGCCCCAACTGAAGGAAGCCCGTGGAGACCCCCGTCTTGGCACCCGAGGCGTCTGAGGGACGCAGCAAGAGGACCCATGTCCCCTTCTGCCCACGACGGGCCGGCTGGCGGGCTCGGGACTGAGGCGGCACCGCGACGCGGGCAGCGTGGAGCTGTCTCCACACCAGTGCGTTCCTCACCTCACTTCTCCTGAGGAAACATCCCCTCACACCCCGCCAGAAAGGCTGCAGGACAGCTGTCTCTTCAAACGACACTTAAGAGAGAGAGAGAGAAGGTACTGTCAGGACTGTCACGGGACAGAGACCGACCCCGCCTAACACTGCCCCAAACGACGACTTGGCGGGAACTGCCAACAGGATGACAGCGTCACAACTCGGGAGTGTGCGACTCAAAACCACAGCCACCGCACACCCTGGAGGCTCTTCCACCCTTCTTCCCGCCTAAAGCCTGCGCTGCAGAGCAGGCTCACCCAAACCCAGAACAACGAAGCACCTCACGCGGATCCGGGTCCACAGCCACACGGAGAAGGAAGCGAGGAAGATAAACTTCCGGCCTCCTGCGGCGCACAGAGGTGACGTAGCAGCGCCCGGGCGGCCGTACCTGCCGCCTCTGTGGCCTGAGCGAAAGGATCCGGTAGGGGGCGACAAGAGACAGCCGAGCAGGCAGGGGCCCCGAAGTAGGCGGGGTTTGAGCGTGTGGGAAGCCGGGTCCCCCACCCCGCTACCCCCGGGAGTGGAGTGGTACACGAGTTGTGCCACCTGGGACGGCGGTGGGCAGCACAAGTCCGCCTCTGGTTGCTTCAGGCTTTCTAGAGAGTAGGGAAGGAGGTGATCTTGGTTTCAGCAAGAAACCGTTTCAAAACTACGTTGTCTTCCTCCGTGTGGGCGTCTGACAGAATGGTCGTCGTCCCACCTCTATAGCGTCTTGTTTCACACTCTCCCTGAAATTACTCCCAGCTGATTTGTCTGCTCTGAATTACCTTTGTTTTGTTGATTTCTGAGGATAAACATTTATCTCTAGATATCTGATTTACTAATAACCACTCTAAAAACAGCAGCTACTTATTGCTGGTAGCAGTAGGAATGCAGAAACTACTTCCTGAGAACAAAGGTAATCATAGAAAAATTGGAAAGCGTTTCTTCATACGTACAAAATATGTAAATCTGTGTGTGTGCAAGCAGAATACAAGTATGTCAAGAGTCATTACGTTTCAGAGTTTAAGAATATCTTTGGTGTCATAGAGAATGCTGAAATCTTGGCATTTCTTACCCATCCGTGCCTTTGTTGCACATCCTCGGCAGCAAGTCTTCTTGTTGGACCGGCTATTGGCTTGAGCCTCCCGTTTGCCAGGTTTCCCCTAATGCTCCAAATTCAGAATCTTTTCTTGCATACTCCCATTGCTTTCCTGAAACTTTCCCGTTTTATATATATTTTTTTAAAGATTTATTTTTATTATTTTTTCATTGGAAAGGCAGATATACAGAGAGGAGAGACAGAGAGGAAGATCTTCCTTCCGATGATTCACTCCCCAAGTGAGCGCAACGGGCCGATACTATGCCAATCCGAAGCCAGGAGCCTCTTCCAGGTCTCCCACGCGGGTGCAGGGTCCCAAAGCTTTGGGCCGTCCTCGACTGCTTTCCCGGGCCACAGGCAGGGAGCTGGATGGGAAGCGGGGCTGCCCGGCGCCCATATGGGATCCCGGGCGTGCAAGGCGAGGACCTTTAACCACTTGCGCCACCGCGCCGGGCCCCCGTTTTATATTTTAACAATTGGTCTAACCGTGGATGCTTGTTTGTTTTTTTTTGTTTGTTTGTTTTTTCAAGATCCTACTTAAGAGAGATGCCTTGGGGTTGATTCCAAGCTCCTCTGATCCCAGCTTACCTTGCCAGCACTGCTACCACCAGCTCTCTCCTGTCTCAGGCCCAGCTTTCCCTAGACCCCAGAGGAAGGCAAATTTGGGTCCTGCCTCCTTCATCCATTACTTGTCGGTAGTAAACCTTCCTCTTCTCTGAAGACCAACGTCACAGAGGATTGTTGTGTGCACGATGGACAGCCATGGACTAACCCCATTGGGTGACAGGCTGACATGGCTTATGAAGGGATGCTTCCGGCTTACTAAACAGACATCACTTTGTCTTTAATGAGATCTTGTAGGTAAAGGGTATTGTAGGTAAAGGTAAAGTTCTTGGGAATAAATAAGTTCCATGTATTCTCTGCAAAAATTTGGTTACAAATATATTTTAGATGCTTATCATAAACTCCTGAGTGAATAGCCATGAAAGTTGAAAAGCAGATGCTGTATTATCAATTAGGCTTTTTCTTCTTATATTTTTACAATGACACCTGAAATGTTCCCATTGCCTGTAGAAAGAACAATGCCCTCTACCTCGTTGTCATGTCTGATCTGTGAGAGCAGAACCTCTATTTTCTTCGCTTATACATGGGTATTTATTGAGCACCTGCACACATCAGGCCCTATTTTAGATGTGGATGCTTAGTAGGAAAGAAGACAGACCTTTTTCCCAGCGCTAGGTCTCATTCACCCTCGACATCCGCTCCTCTGCAGCCCCTGTAACCCTTTCCCAAGACCACAGCTGGTCCAAGACATTGTTAAGGTCGTGAAAGTGGAGTTGAAACATTGCAGATCTTAGGATTAGGGAGAAGAAACAAAGGTAGGAAACGATGAAGAAGCTAGGAGGGAAGGAGGATGAGATCGGGCATACAGAACTGTGAAAGACCAAGTTTTTCCCAGCGGCTGTTCTAAAGTCTTCACCTTTCTGTATTTTGATGAAGGCAAAGTTAACTTTCTATGTAGAATTTATGCTGTCACTAAGTAAGTCTCTTTTTAAGTCCCTTTATTTTCTGAAACAATAGTGGCCTGACCCTACCTGGGAGAAGGCAAAGTTCAACAGTCTGTGTTGGAGCCATCCACTCTCCTACCCCGCCGCCCTTTTGCACAGGAGGAGCACACAGCTCCGGGCCTGCCTGCCCAAACTGGGCCAGAAGTGAAGTGCAAACAGAATGTGGGCTGTGTGCGCCATGGCCTCTGCTGTCTCACAGCTGGGATTTGTGTACTGTGCCTGCACGACCCAGTGTCCCAGAGCTTCACAGAGGCTCAGCTGACTACTCAGCTTTCTGTCTCAGTACACCCAATTATCCTCAAAAAAGGAAGTAGCCCTCAGTTTCCCTTACCTTCACCCCTAATTTGATAGAACACCACCCACAGATTCATGAGTTCAACAGACACACGTGTCCCTGCCCCCTCTCACCTCAGCTTTGCTGACAGACGGGCCAGCTGCTGCCAGCCTCACTTGAAGGTCCTGAGAGGAATGTCATGTTCCCTCTCTGTTCCCTATGATAGCTTGTGGCTGTTTTGTTTGTATATGAAATGTGAAAATATATTTGTATGTGAAACCAGATGAAAGGCAGACTTAAAGCAGGAAAGTTACCCAGAAAGTGTCAGGCCAGGCAAACAAACAAAAATAAAGCTATCCTCCCCTTTAAAAACAAATATATTTGACAATCTTGATTTTTTTAACAGTTTGACTTCTGACCAACTTTCTTTCTCTGAAATGTGCCCTGGCAGTGACTAGAAAGAAAACATCCTGACTCAGCATTCCTACTCCCACACTGTTTCCCACAAGGGTCTGTGGCAAAGAATTGGAACTTGTCCTGGAAATCTCACGGATTCCAGATCCGATAGAGACCCATGTTCCCGCAGTGATTGGATTGCCCGCAGCAGCACAGGGATCCTAGAGAACCCACGCAGCTCCATGAGCTGGTCCTTTCTGGAGTGTGATCGTACAGTCCCACGCCTTCAACCCAGCTCTGTGAAGTTGTCCCGCTGGAGAACGGGGGCAAATGTTCACAAAATGAAATAAAATCTTCCTTTTCCAGAGGTGAGTGTTTGACATAGTGGTTATAACAATGCTTGGGACATCAGAAATTTATATTAGTGTGCCTGGTTTGAAACCAGGCTCCACTTCCAATCAGGCTTTCTGTTAATGCATCCATTAATATGCATAATTCAAGTGCCGGGGGCTCTGACATGCAAGAGACCTTGGTTGATATTTGGGTTCCTGACTTTGGCCTGGTTCTTGTAAACATCTGGAGTTGAGTCAAGCTCTCTCTCTCTCTCTCACCTGTTCTTGCTCTCTCCATGTCAACAAAAATGAAAATAATTTTTTAAATTTTAATCTTCCCTGTCCAAAACTGTCTCTCTTCCTATTTGCAGTATTTTTGAAATTCCATTGTGAAAGATGTGTTCCTTGTTGTTTGTACAATGTTAATTTTAAATTGCAAATGTATTTGAAAGAGAATCAGGCTGGCGTTGCAGTGCAGAGAATTAAGCTGCCCCTGTGACACTGGTGTCCCACATCGGTGCCAATTCAAGTCCTGGCTGCTTCTCTTGCAATCCAGATCCTTGCTAAGCTTAGGAAACACTCACTGGGGTGTTTGGTACAGTGTTAAAACAATACTTGGGTCACCTGCATCCCATAATGGAGTGCCAGGGTTCTACCCCTGCTTGATTTCCAACTTCCTGCTGCTGTGCATGTGGCTGAGGTACTTGCACTGTTGTATTCATGTGCGAGACCCTGATTGAGTTCCTAACTTCTCACTTCAGCCTGGCCTAGACCAAGCTGTTGCAGGACTGTGGGCAGTGAATCAACAGATGTGTGATCTCTGGTTTGCTCTCTCTCTTTCTCTCTCTTTCTTCCTCCCTCCCTCCCTCTCCTTCCCCTTCCCTGCTCTTTCCTTCTCTATCTTTCAAATAAAATGTTTTAACACATTCGTGCTTCTACAGAGTCCAGTGAGTCTGTTTACAGGCTAACAGAAGAGCTAAACCAGGTGATACTATGCTAAAGTTCTGAGACTGTTAAATGGGGATTCGCCCTCTAAGTGGTGGAGTTATTTTCCTTCTTTGCTAAGCACTCAAGTGAATGCGAAAAGATGGTTCTGATGATTGCTGCTTTTGTTTGGCATTGGGAAGGCAAGACCAGTGCTGTTTATCAAATAACCAATTTTAACCAATTTACTAAGGAGAGAATATAGGGCTGCCCCAAAGCAAAATAACAAAGAATGGGAAGCCTCAACCAAGTTTTCCTCATTGTGCCCCAACCTCCAGTGTCTGCTGCATGACTGGTGTCCTATGGATCCTCTTTGGCCAGACCCGCCAAGCATACAGTGCCCTGCTCCAGTGCGCCTGTCAAGATTTCTTTTCCCCTTTTACTCAGAAGATGGAGCTTGACTTCTTCATCTCTACGTGCCTTGTATCTTTCAGATCTTGGTCCTAGTTGCATATTGGCATCACCAAGGGAGCATATGAAAACCACTGAAGCCCAGCTCTCCATCCCCAGAGATTCTGATTTAATTGGTTTGGCACAAATCCAAACACTGGTCTGGACCGATGTTTTTGTGTTTTCTTTGTTTAGTTTATAATGTATCACTAGAATTGAGATCTCCAGCTTTGAAACCGGATTTGCTCTATTTTTACTTACTTGTTGAAGTCCCAAGTCTGGAT